GGGTCAAGTGGCGATGGTGACGACCCACGCCAGCCTGGACGAAGTTTCCCAATTAGACGACCTTGGAGTTGGTCACTTTGTGCTACCTTCGGTGCGGCCCCAGAAAAGTGCTCATAGCAAATGTCACAAGGAACAACGAGTTTGTTTGGATCATCTGCCGAAAACGTACGCAACAAGGGTACAAGCTATGCAGGCAAATTATGGCGACACAAAGGGACTAAGGTTCCTTTCTTGGTGGTTAGACCTTCACTTTTTGAGATGCGTGCGCAAGAAGGGACATCTGACCATGTGTAAGTCGCAGTTTTTGACCACTAACCTGCCAGGAAGTTAAGAACTTCTTGCAGAAATTCGGTTTGACCAATCCGGTTCGGGCCTTGCGCGCCAAAAAAAAGAGAACAAAAACAGCGCTGAGAATTGGGACCTCGGGTGCTCGGCATGCGAGGCATTGATTTGGACGACCTGAAGACGCAGCGGGGGAAGTTGATTTGGAGGCCAGACTCGGGCGATGCGTTTCAGTGGGGAAGAAATGTGCTTCTCATTTTGATTTTTTGATTTTCCTGTAGTTCCCTTTTCAGCTAGCGAAGAAAATGCTTTTTGCAGGGGTCTAAGTCTGCCTCTGAACCAAACATGGGTTTAGAGGATCCGCTCGTAAAGCAGGCCGTTTTCGGATGTTTTCTTGAAGCACCCACGTAGACTTGGCTGCCCCTTGTAAACTTCAACTGGGTGCACTGGGTTACAACGTTGCCCTATGAAGCAGCACCCTCCCACCAATTAACATGGAACCTGACGTTCGGGGGTCCTGGTGTGGACCATCTTCCTGTTAGGCTGTGAATTGGTGGGGGGGTAGCTGTTGCTTGGTGGCTCCCCGCCATCCCCTTAGCTTTTTAGCCTTTTAGTGGTTAGTGGTAGTTTCCATTTAACCCACTAAAAGTTATTCACTTTTGGCGGGGCATCTGAGGACAGCCCAAGTTCTTTTCCCCTCTTTTTGCCGAAAGGTGCGCCTTTCAAAGTGCCCCCGCGCAGGTCTGAGAAGGGCATCCAGTGGGTGTGGAGCTGCAGCCCCGGAGCAATTCGGAGCTTCGGTAAGCCGTCCAGTTCTGCAACCGCGGCTCCGAAACACAGAGGATTGGAAGCTACTGTTTTGTTGGAAAAACACAAAGTCACCCATATGTATAACCAAACAGGGGCTAAGTTGGGGAGGGCTATCGCCCCTTACGGTCTTAGTCGACCTGCTGTTGGCTGATTCAGGGGTGGACTTGCCCCCCAATTTGCAGCAGGGCTCCGCGCTTGGTGTGGATTTTGACCCAAGCGCGTATGTTGGCAGCTGTGAGTCTCAAACCGCCAATGCCTCGTGAAGTTTGCCCACCGCCAAAAAGAAGAGCCAGTGCTCCCTTTTCCATGGTCTAAAATACCGTTGTGCCTGGCGAGTGGGAAGCCGAGGCTCACTTTTGAGCAAGTGGTGTCCTGTTTGGTCAGTTTGAGAATGCAAATCTGTGGGTTCCAACGGCTTCGTTTAAACTATTTGCCATCAACTCCCAGAGGAGTGGCCAGTGATGCAAGCCATCCGGCTCACTCAGCTTAGCAACTGGAAACCCAATGGAGGAATCCCCATGTTTAGGCCCCTCAATGGAGACGACTCCCAAAATGAGAATTGGTGTGCTGAACATGCACTCGACCCAAGATGTTGCCCCGTTCGGCTGGTCTTGACGAGCGCCACTTGGATTCTCAGGCTGGGAGCGAGAGCTGTGATCGAGCCCTTCGGATCGAGCGGGAACAAAAACAACAAGCACTTCGAGCGCGAGGAGTCGGAGAAACACGCGAAAGGGCCGGCTGGGGCAGGGTTGCTCTCAGAGGCTTGTTTCAAGCCATATCTGCATGTCCATGGGCTGTGAGCTTTACTTTGGGGCAGATTTGCATGGATTCAAAGCTGGTCGAACCCCGCAGGTGCCTCCACAAATGACCCTTGCTACAAGTTACCACTCTAGCTGAGGAGCTGCCGGGGAGATGTGTAAATACATGGTAGCGGTGTTTTGTGGGTGTGTCTTTCGCACTTGCCAGAAGTTGACCTTTTGACCTTTGAGTTTCCCCTGTTTGGTGGATCCTTTGGGCAGGTGAGGGATTTTTTGGGATCCCACCGTTCCAAATGGCAAATTAAAAATGACAACGTCGCCCAGCAAATGCCAAGCGATTCCGGACTTCATGGATTCGTGGTTTCGAGCTTTCACAAAGTTCCTGTTTGGCATTTGGCCAAGGAGATCATCTAGGTCCATGTCGGGCTGTGAGCTCTACAGCATGAATCAATCGGATTGCTAGCTTTAAAATGGGACACCCCCTGCATTTGTCAACCCAAAACTTCTTGTAATCAACTGGGTCCCCCGTGTCAGCACGCAGTCTTTTTTCGAGGTGTGCAAGAGGTGAATCCGGATCACCTCAACTGGCTGCACCTAAAGTGGATAGACAAAATCCTTTACCACTTTGAAACTATGGTTGAAACCATTGTTTGTTGCCATGTACAGGGGAAGTGTCATTCCAGTGTTCCTTAGGAGGCGCGGGATTTCGTCCACAATAGGGCCGCCACACATAGACCAACACGTTTTTGGGGTATTTCCGTTGGGGAATCGAGTCATTCCGTGGGGTTGCTGAACGATGCGATAAGTAAATGGATTTCGCGGTGCCTGCCCTTGAGGTGCCCCTTAATCTTTGACCCTTGGGAAAGCCTATGACAATTTCCATGTCTTTGGGGTCACGGCAAGATTGGTAATTCCAGGGCATTATGACACCCAAGATCGATCCTGGGTGAGTGGGGCACGTAGTTGCAGAAGAAAAGTAACACAACTCGATAGCGGAAGTTGAGTTTAGCGAGCGAAAACACACGCTGACTGCCTTGGGTCTGGCAAGGCTTTTGTCCGAGGCGCGCGCTTGCACACAGCTTGCAGATGGCTTAAGGCCGCATAGCAGAAGCACTTCTGAATTCGGGCAACTGAGCTAAAATCCGCCTGGTAAGTGGCTGAGCAGCTGGTCACCAAGGATGAGGCAGCATGTGTCCCTGTAAATTCGCATAGTTTATCCATGTCACTGCTTACCAAGACCAGTTTGCTGGCCAAACGGGAAGCCTCGAGTCGCATTGGCCACTGACGGACCACAGGCTGAAGCGAAACCCAAAGCCGATTTCAACGGCCGAAGCACGGGGCTTCGCGCGCGCCGCACAACAACAGCCGGCGCTCTCCGGCCATGCGGGGCGCTCAGAAGCCATTTGCCCTAAGTCATGTGGGTGTGTGTGTGTGTTTGTTTCAGGGTACCCTTTTTTGGGGTTGGTTTAAAGGGATACCAGTACTTTGACCATGCCCATGTGTGGAAGGAAGGGCATGCTCCGATCCGTTTCTTGTCGCATTTGCAGGTTGATGGGTCTGGGTCTTGGGTACCCCCCGTAGATCGTACTAGTGTCAGGTGTTCACATTGTGTTTGGAGTGTGGACGGGGGCGCGAGGTTTTACCGAAGTTTTGGGCATGGGATGTTTATCTCGTTTGTGCTTCAACCCTGTTGCTACAGCTGATTTGGTTGGATACTCCCCTGCAAATGAAAATGCAACCCAACAAGGGGGTGCCCAACAGGAGATTGCTCTAAAGTGCTGGCTTGCAGGGTTCCATATGTGATTATCCGTAGGGGGAAAGTTGTCGTGCCTTTTTTTGGGGGTCGTGGTTGTGCTTCTTCATTGGTCCTTGTGGCTTTATGACTGGAAAGCAACGATCAACCACCGATCGGCAGTAATTGAAACGGGCTCACCCATGATGGCGGCCCCTTGGTGATTCCTTATCGGGTTGGGAATCATACGAATTGTTCCATTTGCTGATGTGTGTTTGTTGTTTTTCCCCTGTTGGTAAGCAAGGGAATCTATCACTACATGGGGCTTCAGCAAATGGACGTAGTTTGACCGTACTTAATCTCTGCCTGTCCTTCCAAGTGACATCTGAAAATAAGGGTGCCGCGGCATGCTTGTTGGTACTTGTGTTTTCCAAGTACTTGTTTCCCACCAAGCAACAACCCTATCAGAAGGTGCTCCTTGGTGTTGATCTTCCCGGCGGTTGACAATGTGCACAGAGGCACTAGTGAGTCACTGTCAAGTGGCACACAAAACCCTCTTGCTGTCACAGCGTAGATTGGGGATTTGGAGGAGTCCATTTGGGCCAACACACACCGCCGCCCTTCCCCATTGAAAGAGCAAGCGGAGGCGTTGGCTGAGGCCCTGGACTGGAGCCACTTTTTGGACCATTTCAGCGGCAAACAAAAAGTCTGGATTCTTTCTGACCGGTCCACTCGCTCGGCTCACTTCAACCAGCGGGTAAACTTGTTGGTAAGTCAACAGTTCGGACGCTTCAGAGATCCAGGAGGTTGCGGCAAAATGTGACTCAGAAGCCTTCCACTTCAGGCAGCTCTGAGGGCCAAGGGCCTCTCATGAGGCGCATCTTGGGGGGGAGGGGGGTTCTTCTGTGGGCTTCACCTGCTTCACAGAGTTTCTCTCTCTTTTTTTTTTTTTGCGGGGCGAAAAAAACAAAACAAAACATGGCTTTCAAGGTGGGATGCTTACACTCCCCCCCTTTTGCTTGAAGCAAACCATGCAGTGGCCATGCTCCCAATGTTTCGGCCTACAAGGGCCCATCTTTGCCGCTTGTGGTGTCCGTTTGCTGTATATTGGGCCTTTGTGTTGGTTTCAGTGGGGGCTGCAAGGAACCAGATGTGTTGCCACGTGGAGTGTGTTGTCGGTTGCTCCTCCTGGCAGTTCTCAAGGGAAATGGTTACTGTTGAAAAAAATGCGCAGCCGCACTTTAAACAAACAGAAGACACGTGTTGCAGGCGCTGCCGCTCCACCCAAAAGCGGGGTCTATGCCAAAGATGCCAAAGACACGGATTCGGAGGTTGCCCAAATTGGCGGTTCCCCCAACCCTTGGGCTCAAGGGGTATTGGTCCCAGCTTCGGCAGTCCGCCCGCAGAATGCGTGTCGGAGCGTGCATTTTGCTCAAGGCAATTCGTGAGTGAGCCCCTCCAAGTCTCCCCGTCTTCGGGCCAGCGGCATGGCACGACAAGGGGGACAAGATGAGTCCAAGCGTGCAGAAGCAGAGTTGGGCAAGCTGCGGAAGCTGCCGGATAACAAGCGGATGCCTCAGAATGCCCAAAAGGGAACATGTGTTGCTTGGCATGTGTGTTGCGGTCCTTGTGTTTGTTTGTTTTCTTGGTGTCATGTTTCAAGAACAACTGCTTTCCAACTCAAAGCTGCTTTCGTTCCTTCACTGATACCCGATTGACATAAGTGTCGCATGTGCCTAGTTCCAGACAGCGCCAGGGATATGTTTTTGGCAAGTGTATGCGTGAAAACGCGGGACCGGGACTCAAAGTGGTCGCTTGTCTTTGGCCATTTGAGAAGTTCTGGGAACGGGTGCCAAGGCAGAAAGAAGCATGGCAACCCTTGGTATGTCAGCAAAAAGCTCGTTATTGGAACTGAAGAGATGCAAGACTAAGACAAACACCAAAACATGCCAAGATTGAGTGCTTGCAGCTGGCAAGAGTTCTGAACTCTGAATGGTTAGTTGCCTTTCGACTTCTCGATGAGAAATCCAACCAGTTGAGTCGCAAATTTCGGACACACGACATGGATTTGTCTTTGGAAGCCCAAGTAGCACTGGTTTCCTCGGGTCTGGTCGATGATGGCCATGGGCCTGTTTCACTTTTCTCTCAAAAGGAACTGGTCGCGACTTTCTTATAACTACATATTATCTTTGGCGATGAAAAAACAAGCAGTCTCTGGGTCTCCCCATTTCACCTTGCCCAAAGCTGAGCGGCCGTTTGTTTCTGCGGGTCGTTGCGGGTCTTTGGGGCCCAAGCTTTGACGGCTTTTTGTTTGACGCTGCTCCATGGGTTTGCAGAATGGCCCTATCCTGTTTTTGGGGCCCACAAGCCACAAGGTAAAATGGAAGGTCCAAAAAGCAGGTGGGCACCATTGTGCCATGGACAAGAGTCATTTTTTCAGCCAAGCAATCCAACACAACCCGATACTCCAAACGAAAGTGGTTGCAACCTGGTCCAAGCTTTGCAAATCAATTGGCAGCTTTTCAGTCAAAATGGAAGAGGGGGGCTTCATTTTGGATTCCTTTGAATTGGGGTTGGTGGGATCCCTCTAGAGTCTAGCCAATTGACCTGGAAAAAGCCCGCTTTTTCCAATTGGACTCCACGGTTGAAGGTTTGGGTAGGGCCACATTCTAGGCAGCCAAGGAAATCCCCTTGAAAGCGATCAAGTAGTCCGAGAAATGACCTGTATTTGTTAAGGGTGCCCCTTGGATGGGTTCAAAGGGAAACCAGAAGGAAACCATTTTCCTTTGAGCCAATCCCATAGGTCAATTTGTATGTGGTTTAGGCACTTTTCTGGTGGTCCATGTTGTTTCAGTGGTTTCCTTTGGGTGCGGATCACCTCGAGTGCAGGCGCTGTGCCAATTGTTTGACCCCCGGGGCGCCGCTCCTCTCGGCGGTGGTGATGCCCTTTAAGATCTTCGTCTGCAGCAACTGCCGCTCAGCTCACTGGGTTGCGACAGGTGCGATAGACGAGCCATGGGGCACAAATAGGCTCGTTTATTTCAGGCTGACAAAACTGGTGAAGCCCCACCTTGGTTTTCAAGAATTTGTCCACTTTCGGCTTGTGTGTGTGTGTGTGTGTGTTGCCAGTTCGCTTTGTTCCACTTGATTCCCGAGTCGTCATGTCTTATCATCGTTCTTGTACTCTTTCGTGTTCCCTTGTGTTCCAGTGTTTCACAACTCCCCTTGTTTTGTTTTTGGCCAGGTGTTTCCTGGTGTTAGCTTTTGGATGCCAGTCAGGTGTTCCCCTGAATCTGCAGGTTTTGAGCGACTTTTTCAGACAAGGCATGTGTTTCTTCCCGTATTTTGAGGCAAGTGAGGTGCTTTCCCTGGACCAGATGTGTCCTGTTTTTGCTTCAGGTAACGCAGGTGTTTCCTCTGACTTCGTTTCGTTTCAAGGCAAGTCGGGGTTTCCTTCTGAATGTTGTCGTTCGTAATGTTGAGGCAAGCCTGATTTGTGCGTCCTTTAGTTGTTTTCAGGCCAGTCAGGTCTTTAGTGTAGATGTTTTCCTTGTAAGTTTGATGCAAGTCAGCATGTCCATCTAGGTGTTTCCTCTTTGTGTTTTTGGCCTAGGTCAGGTGCTTCCTCAGGTTTTATCGTGTTTCAGGCAGGTTAGGTGTCCCTTCAGCTCTTTAAAATGCGGCAAGTCTCCCCTACATGGTTCCTTTGGTGATTTGAGGCAAGTTTGCTTTGCCCCCTACAATCGACCTTCCCATGGATTGCTGCTTCGAAGGCGCTCCAAATTGCATTTTTGTGAGGTCCCAGATGGATTTGGAGGATACTTTGCCATGTGTTTGTCGTTGAAGGTGCGGTTCCGCCTTTTTCATGGCCGCTGAAACCAATTTGACCTTGGCTTGATTTTGGTGGTGTACTCTTTGTTGGCTCATGTTGGGTGGAAGTGCGGATCGACCGGCTCGGATCTTTTGTTTTCTTTAGCAGGCGCTCAACCTCCTGCCTCCTCGGTCCATGCGCATGCTGTTCGGGGCAATTTTGTCCGGCAGACTTGGGACACGGGAGCTTCCCAGGGCCGAGCGGCAATCCGAAAGCCGAATCAAAGGCCCCTCTTCCATCTACCTCAGGATTTGGGGGGGGGATCGGATGAGCGGGATTTGGACCTTGGCAGCCTTCTAGCTTCCCCAAGTTGGGTCCTAACTAACTAGATCTATATAAGTCGCCCATCTTCAATTTGCCCAAGGACGCCAAAGAGTCTAAGAGGGCTGGACCAGGTGTTTGTTCTAGTGTTTTCCGGCTCAAGTAGCCCCAGAAAAAAAAAAAAAAAGAAAAAAAAAACGTTTTCGAACATGTGGCGCGGATTGATCCCCTCAGCTGTGTGGAAGAAGAAGTTTTCCAGCTCCTCAGTCATCACCCAGTTTCAATAGGGTAAGGCGTACCAACCGCTCGCGCAGCCAGCGCGAAAGTCTCGAGGCAAGTCGGCCCATCAGTCCTTCTCCCACAGATGCAGCTTTGGCTCGAGTGAGAAACCGGACGCCCTGAAAGTTTTTAACCGGCGAAATCCGTTTTGGACCAGTTTCTAACCACCGTTCATTCTGGGCAAAATCCAGTTCAGACCAGCTTTCTATAACCAAGGCTTCCGTTCTGGGCAACATCCAGTTGAGACCAATTGCTAGCTTAGATGTCCGTTTTCGCACCCCCTGGGAGTTCATTTGGCGTGTTCAGCCACGCAGGGAGTATGCGGACACCCGCTTTTTCCCTGCGGCTCGGGGGTCCTCCGGGGTTTGCATTTTGAGAGTTGGAGCATGTTATGTCACCAAATGTTGATGTCTACAGGGCCGTACTCAAACTTCGGGGTCATTTGAGTTTGCCCCTGGTGAGTTTTGCTGGTTTTGGTGCGGTGTTCTTGTGCGCGCTTGGGAGAAGGAGGATTGGCGAGGGAAGGGCCAGCGAGAAGTTGCAAGAGTCACATGTCGAGGGCTTGGGCAGTGTTGAAGATATCAGTGTCAAACGGGCTGTACGCCTGGAGCTTGCCCACGTTTACCGTACCAATTTCTACCGAGGGGAAGGCTCGGATGCCGCTTCTTCAAACGCTGCCAAGAACCTTTCCGGACAAGGGGGAAAAAAGGGTGGCCCTTTGAAAGTGTCCAGTGGAAGTGTTCCAGACTGGGAGGGGAGGGGAAAAAGGGTGACGTCCAAAAGGAGTGGACCGAGGCAAGAGCACCCAGATGAGCCTGTGGACCATGGAGGAGGTGCAGAGTTTGGAGGACAAGAACGGGGGCGGCAACCGGGCGGCCCAGCACATGTGGCTGGCTGAGGCGGTCTCCCGTCTCCCGCCGGGGGTTGCTGGCGGAATGGCGAAGTTTGAGTCTGAGCCGGGTAAACTCCAAAGGGGGAAGTGAAGGATTCATGAAGGGTAAATGAGGAGTAAGGAAGGCTAGGTCCCCCAGTAGTGCCCTTGTACCCTTTTTTGGGGGAGGGTTCCCTACTAAAATAGACTGCAGACAAAGGGTACCCTTATTCTCACCTCTCTTGAGGACCAAGAAGAGCCTTTAAAGTTCAAACCCAAATTGAACTGTTCAGATGGTTTCCTCCAGCCATTTTGTTCCCTTAAGGAAATGCAAATAGCAAATGGCCCCTTGCCGCCATGCCCCCAGCACCGTGAGGCCCGCGGCAATGAGCGGCCAAGGGAGGGCGATAGCCTGGACGTCTTCAAGGCCGGGCTTAGCCTCCACAAGTGAAGCGGCCGGATCTGAGATCTGGGCTGTTCCAGGGCAATCCTGGAGCCTTGCCGTTGGGTTCCCCATGTTTCCCTGGGATGATGGATTGGGATTGGCCACTCCATCACTGCGACGTTGCCATGGCACCTGACAGGGTCCAAACAAGAAAAGGATCTTCCAGCACAGGTGCTACGTTAGTCTGGGTTGGGGCCAACCGAGCACCTGCATCTTTGGGAAATTCTCCCTAAGCCAACCCTAAGCCAATGCAAGACCCACACTGAAGCCAACCCGATACTTTCTTCTGATAGAACAGCAAGTTCTGCAGTCCATTCTGTTATAAACGAAGAAACAGCTCCTATGTTACCTTGCTACCTTCCCTTTGTGATCAAATGTCATTAGACAGGTCATGTCCCAAGCTTGCAGCTTTTGGCGCAAGTTTCTCATCGTCGGCTTTTCCCATTGAACCTACAGAAGGGGGATCCAGCTTCTCGGCGAAGGGCACTCCAGATCCCAATCCTGGACACCTTGCGTGCCTGTATCGACCTCTCTTTCTCTCAGCTGAATCCATTTTTTCAAGTAAACCCCCCAAAAACCATGGCCCCCGAACTTCAGCTGGGCTACCCCTCAAATAAAGCCTCCCAACTAGCGCCCAGGACTTTGTCAGGAAGGCCTACATCGAGAAGCGGTGGCAAGGCTCCGGCCCACCCACGAGCCAACAGGCCGCGCCGGCCGCACCGGCGCCCCGAGAGGAACGAGCGCGGCGAGAGGCGCCCCGAGAAACCCGGGCAAGCGCACCGGCGCCCACGGTGGACCTGCTGAACCTTGACGGGTTAAGATGGTTTGCCACCAGCCGGGACCCGCGGGAACTTATCTCAGTTGCCCAAAGCGAATCGACCTTTTGACCTTTTTGTTTCCCTGATTTGGCCCATTTTTAGTCAAGGTTCCAAAAGGTGAACCTTGTATTTCTGGCTCCTTTGGGCAACTGAGACTTGGGTATATGTCTTATAAGAGGCAGCTGGTGGCTGTATATCCCACAAACCCCTGCGGGTAGAAGAACGCAATCTTAATTGGATCCACCGTTCGCCTCCCTCTGCTTGTGAGGTTGAAGGTTATATGCCCTGGGTCAATTGCCCACGATGGTTCAACACCAACTTTGGCATGTTTCTTCGGGTGATTTCCCAGTGGGCGCACCAGTTCTTGCCACCAGGGATTTTAATTGCAACCTTGGGCCCTAAAGCTCCCCTCAACAAGTGGAGTGCTATTCAGTCTGATGTTTCCATGCTCCTTTTTTCCGCGGGACCACGCGAGGATCGACTTCGAGCCCACTCCGTCTCCGGCTGCGGCTACCAGTTTTAACCCCTCCGGCAACTCCGGCTTCGCCTTTACCGACAGCCCCCCAAACACGTCCTTCAACCCCAACTCCAACTTCGCCTTTACCGACAGCCAGCCTGCTCCTGCGGCAAACCCTCCGTTCAACCCCAACTCCAACTTTGCCTTCACCGACAGCCAGCCTGCTCCTGCGGCAACCCCTCCATTCAATCCCAACTCCAACTTCTCCTTCACCGACAGCACAGCTCCTGCTGTCAGCTCCAGCTTCAACCCAAACTCCAACTTTGCCTTCACCGACAACCAGCCTAACTTCGATCCCTTCGTCGGGAGCACTCCCAACCAGGCTCAGGCTCAAATGCCTGTCATGGGCAATGTGAACAACGGATCCGGTGGAAACAATTTCAGCGACCTAGTTGGCATTGGCATGGTGTTTTATTGTTGGTTGTGGGTGGGTTTCCTTTCAACATTAACTAAAAACAAGACTACCCTTTTCCCCGTGGACCCCTTTTCCCCATGGATGCTGGGCGAGTAAGGCAACGCAGGTTGCCAACCAATGGGTGGATGCAGCGGATGTGGTGGATGCAGTGGATGTGGTGGATGCGGCGGTTGCGGCGGTTTTGCTGGAGGTGCTGGCTGCAACGGCTGCAATGGCTTCAACGGCTGCAATGGCTTCAACGGCTGCAATGGCTGCAATGGCTGTAATGGCAGCAACGGCTGCAATGGTTGCAATGGCGGCAGTGGCTGCAACGGCTTTAACGGCTGCAATGGCTGCCACGGCTGCAATGGCTGCCACGGCTGCAACGGCTGCGCTGGCTGCAATGGCTTTAACAATTGCAACGGCTGCGGAGGCTGCTATGCTTGCGGTGGATGTGGCGGTTGTCAAGGTTGCGGAGGGGGCATGATGGGGCACATGGGCCAAATGGGCCACATGGGCCACATGGGCCAGATGGGCCAAATGGGCCAAATGGGCCAAATGAGCCAAATGGGCCAACAGGGCGGCAATTCAAAGAGCAATGCACCAACACCGACCTTGGCAGATTTGAAGCAGAATCTGCATCAGCTCTACGCGTCGTGACCTGTCCGCAGCAGCCCGCCTTGCTATGTTCGAGGCGGCTTTTTGAAGTTATGTTTGACCCCATTCCTGGATCCATTGCTGTGGCAAGCAGCAAGTTTGGACGTTTTGGCCAATCCACACGGGAAGTGAGTGGAACACCCCGTAACTTGTGGTGGCAAAACAGATGAGTTTGTTTTCAACATCACCACCGCTCCTTGTGGGGTGGGAGTGGGGTGGATCACAGGGGCTTTTTCAAGAGGATGGTAGTCTTCGAACCCTCAATCCACGGCTGCCGGAAAAGGGGTGTGAAAGTCATCGTCGACCTGGCGTTTGTTGCAGAGATATTTTGCTAGTTCAGTGGATTCCACCCTTTTTCCCTCGTCGTTGGTTCGCAACGACAATGCGATTCGCCAATCAACCAGAATAGGTTCGGATTCTGTTTCTTCCAGGGGCCGTTGGCTGCAACTCTCGGGAAAACTATCCACAGGATTTCCTTCAGAAGTTTCTGCACTTTCAGCTTGGCGGGTTGGCTAACTTCCCATAGGACTTGTTGGTTCCTGTGGATGGGCAAACTTCTTGGGATGAATAAACTGGATCACTACAGGGAAACCTACCCACTGCCTGAAGCGGCAAAGCGCCGAATCCACGGCTCGAAGCCGGGCGTGTCCTGAGGTGACGAAGTTCAATGGCCCGGCTGAGAGTCGAGCCGAGCTCGATGTGAGTCGACTTGCGAAATGAGCTCCGGGTGGGTTCCAATTTGGACAGCTTGCTCTAAGACTCCCTTGCGTGTGGCACAACGAGACAGAGTTGTCCTTGGCCTTGCCTACCCGAGAAATAAGTGCTAGAACTCCGCAGGAAGTGATATCGTCTTGTATTTGTCTGATTGTCCGAGGTTCATGTTGATCTGAAGGGGAAGCAATCAAATTGCCCCAGCCCGGGCTGCCAGTTTTTGCTCGCTCCGGGCGAATCTCAACAGGCTCAGCTGCCATTGGCTTTGGCCCTCTCCGACTCTCAGATTCAACCACCCGAGCAAAGGGGGTTAGAAATTGGGTGTGTCTAAGATAAAGGTGGTTATTCTCGGAAAAGCAACATCCCCAAAGGAGAACCCCTCAAAACGCAAGGACTTCATGGACCCGGTAGAAGTTGTCCTTCTCTGTTCTCCGGGTACCTGAGCATGTTGAAGCAATACCTGCTGACAAGCTCAAACTCGGGGCTTGGCACTTGCGCTCGAGCGCGGGCTCGAGGCATCAAAAAAGTGATGGCCGCTGGAACGCGCATGCCACACACCCGAGGTTCAGTCAAACTGCAGTTCTTCAGCTCGATTCCGCCAGCAACCAGCAAAGTCTGAAGTTTAGTTTGCACAGCAAACTAACTTCTCTACTTCTCTGCCAGCAGCCCTTCCTTTAACCGTCCCAAATGCAACCAGCAACCGGGTTGAACAATGAGCACTGAATTTTGTCCCCCCCCCCCAAACAAAAAAGAAGAATAATACCAAAAAACACATAGGACCTGTCACAGGTATAGGAGCCAGTCCAGGTAGCTTTCCGCCTCTTGATCTTTGAAAGAGTCGAAGCGGCGTATCCGCCATCCTGGGTTGGGGCGGCCGATTTGTTTTGAGGTTCCGGTGGGGTGGAAAGTCGCCCTGGATGTTTCTCAAAGGGGTTCCCGTTTGGGATGGCTTTTGGGCGGCCAAGAGGAAACCAGCACCTGAACAAAATCACGACAAGCATGACAAAACACTGAATGAGCTCAAGTATAAGGGAAATGAGGGCAGGCAAAGCAACCAAGGACAAGCCATCATATAAGGGAACACGTTTGATTTGAACAAGTTCCTGCACTTTTTTGAGAAGACAATTTTAGTGTTCCTTTTGTATTGGGTGTTGTCTGGTCTCGGGACTGTTTGGCCCTGGGGCATGCATTGGCTTTTGACCAAACGGGTTACCCTCCCTGCCAAAGAGACAACGTGGAAGCGAAGGCACATCACAAGCCCCTGTACGGGGGTCAACATTGCAGGGACCAGCGGCAATCCAACCGTTTTTTTTGCTTCAAGGCGTTTTTCGCGCTGGGTTGTGCTTTTCCCAGTTTCCTGGGACAAGCATCCTGCCCACAAAAAAAAACAGAGAGAGAACCGCACCAATTTCCAACTCACCCAGTTCCAATCCAACCACACCCTCTCCTCAATTGTAAACCAGGGGGGGGGCCGGGGACTTGTTTTTTGGCTCAGGAGGGGGTAGAATCAACCCCACCAAGTTCCAACAATCCAACCCCCACCAACCAGATAAACCATCCCTTCTGGTTTCCCCGAGGGAATCCCAATCCAACCCCCCCAACCAGATAAACCATCCCTTCTGGTTTCTTCGAGGGAATCCCAATCCAACCCCCCCAACCAGATAAACCATCCCTTCTGGTTTCCCCGAGGGAATCCCAATCCAACCCCCCCAACCAGATAAACCATGATAAACCATCCCTTCTGGTTTCCCCGAGGGAATCCCAATCCAACCCCCACCAACCAGATAAACCATCCCTTCTGGTTTCCCCGAGGGAATCCCAATCCAACCCCCCCAACCAGATAAACCATCCCTTCTGGTTTCCCCGAGGGAATCCCAATCCATCCCCCCCA